AGATGATGCATTGTCTGGTTATGACATCGAAGTGACACAAGAAGGCGAGGACATAAAAGATCCAGGACATGGCAATGGAAAAGCTTCGTCTTCCCAGTGGTCTCGATAAGAAAAAAGCCAGCTGAATCGACAGTCTTTGAGAGGTTGAGAGGTTTTCGATGGTGGTCCTAATCAGTTTGAGCAGCCTTATGTGAAGGGGAAGATTATGAATAAGTTGTTGTCTGCATTTTCCATTAAGTGACACAAGAAGGCGAGGACATAAATTGCCTATTTATTTTATTTTTAATTTCTATCATGTCACTCGATGGATTTGTAAAATTTTATACTTGTTCTTGATAGATTCTGCTTTTAATTTGCTTCTTCAGTCTTCTTCTGTCATTTCATATCTTTCATTACTTTTGTTTTTTTTTTTTTCATCGATTCTGAGGAGCCTCTTGTAATTGAAAGGCCTCCTTTACGAGGTGATTCCTTTCTGATAAATGCCATAGTGGTGGCTATTACTGTTACATTCATTTCCTTTGCTTTCAACGGTTATGATGGAATATTTTTAAGGATTCACATCATCGTTTCAGTGTCCGAACCATATGCCTACACAATCTTATCTCCACACCCCTGCTCTTACATGTTTTTTTTTTTTTTCAATTGTTTAGGTTTGGGCCCACAACGATTTTCTTTTTTTGGGTGGTTCCTTTCTTTTGCCTTAAAAATTAAAAAAATACAAATTCATTCTTGGGATTTTTTTGGAGAAATAATTTATTTTTTTTGAATAGTGAAAATCACTATTCACCTTTTTATAAACCATTATTCATTATTGTAGTTTGGTTTTTTTTTTTTTTTTTTTTTTTTTTTTTATAATTTTTAAGTTATCTCATTTTTGTTCATAAAATTTTAAAATAAAAATTCTAATCCTTTAGCTGATGCAATACATATATCTTTTTTTTTCTTTCGTTTTTTCTTCCTTTGTTGTTTTCCATCAATTTATGTTTTTTTTTAAAAAAATTTAATTGGGTGTTAAATTTTTTAAAAAGCAATCGTTATTTTTTTCACTTAAGTTGACGATTATGTAATATATATGATATAGGTTTTGAACAGTAAAAATCATTGTTCACCCCCTCACAAAATCACTATTAATTACCGTAGTTTAGGTTTTTTTAAATTTTTTTTTCAAGTTATCACATTTTGGTTCCTAAAATTTTAAAATAAAAATTTTAATCCCTTAGTCGATGCACTACATATGCCTTTTCTTTGGTTTTTTTTTTCCTTTGCTTTTTTTTTCCATTAATTTATGTTTTTTTTAATTGGGTGTTAAAATTTTAAAAAATCAATCGTTACTTTTTCCACACAAACTGACGATTATATAATATATATGATATGTTTTTATATTTTAAAATAAATATATACCACTCTTATTGTTTTAAACTTATCTTTTTGATTTATTATAAAAATTCTCATCAAGTTAATTTTAATTTTAATTTTTTACATATTTTTTATTAATAAATATGATTTATTTTCTCTACGTATGGATTCGAATAAATTTTTTATACCCATTTTTATTTGCTTCATTCTTATATTATCAAAATTTAAAAATAGAATATATGCATTTTATTTTCTTATTTTTTATATAATCAAATTTTATCGAAATCAATTTTATAATTTTTACTACAATCTATTATTTTCAATATATATTTTACCATTTATTTTTTAAAAATATTTTTTAATTTATTCTATACATATATTCTCACCTATTTGAGAATGGTCATGATATATAAAAAATAATAATAATAGAGTCATTGATTTTATTAGAAATCAACTATGCATCTACACACACAATGTCAACTATTTGCTATTATTTTTTTAATATTTAAAATAAAATAATTGAAATAATATTTTAGAATAACCACTTAATAATTCAAATACAATTTTGTATACTAATATTATTCGTTATTTGGCAAATAAATATATATAAATCAAATGCATATATATAAAAAAAATCTTCTCATTAGTAAAAAAGCTTCGTTTGTCAAATTTTATGTGATTTTTTATATTAATTGTTGCTTTTATTTGTTCGATGCAATGCTATGAAAAAGATTAAGATGTTTTTTTAAAAAATTTTATATTAAAATTTATATATTATGTCTTTTTATTTAAGAATAAATGCATAAAAAAGAACAAATTATATATTTTTTTATTAAATTTTGATAAAAAATTATGAAGTTAGATGAAATTTTATGTGTTATATTTAATTTAATATATTTTAATTAATCGATAATATAGTATATGTTGTTAAACTGAAATAAATATGTTTAATTCGGTTCGCAGCGTAGCGCAAAAATTCAAATTGTTCATATGCCTAAAATTCATATTAACTTACAGTTCATAATTTTGATTAAAATTATATTTTTTTATAAGAATGTATCCAAAATATAAAGTTATACTTATATAAAATTACTATAAGAATTTTAAAGTATTTTTTAATTCTTAATTAATATTTCAAGTTTAAATTATTATAATTTTTTATTTTAGAATCCCTAAATAAAGAAGAATAAATTATTTTTTAAGTATAAATTTTATGAAAAATATGCAAAAGAATAATAATAGTTAAATAAAAAATTATAAAATTTTGAAATAATTTTATTCTATTTATCCATAGCATTGCATGGATAATTTTATAAATTAATCTTTTATTAATATTAAATGAGAATTTTTTTTTCATTTGTTACTTTTTATAAAATTCTATCCATTAATTATAATTTTATTTTTTAAATATAATATTATGAAAATTATATTTTTTAAGTTTTTTTTTTTGTCCTTGATCGTAGCAGAAATCGAAGGGAGACTTTTTCTTTTCTTTTGATTGGCTGAGATCAAAAGGTGCCTTTTGAAAGTCTCATTCTACTTTTCCTCCTTCTCTGCAATTCATTTGCTTCTGCTTTCCACTTTCAACTAGTTTCCTTTCACACTCGCACTCACACTCGCACCTTTTGCGAAGATCCACTCCATGGCTCTGGCTTTGATCGGAGGCTCACTTCTCACTGCTGTAATTGAGGTTTTGGTTGACAGGTTGGCCTCTCCGGAGGTTGTGGGCTTCTTCAAAACCCAAAAACTCAATGATAGTCTTCCTGAGAAGTTGAAAGAAACGCTGAATACTGTCAACGGACTGCTCGATGATGCGGAGGAGAAGCAGATTACTAAGCCTGCTGTGAAGAACTGGCTTAGTGATGTAAAACATGCTGTTTATGAAGCTGAGGACTTACTGGAGGAGATTGATTATGAACATCAACGATACAAGGACGAAGCTGCCTCTCAAACTTCCACAAGTTTAGGTTTAGCTCAGGTAAGCCTTTTTTTTTTTTTTAATAGTTGTTTTGAACATCCCTGATCTAAATTTTGAACTTTAATATGCATTTTCTTCTCTTTAAATGAGTTTAAGCATTATTTTTCTTGTCAAATAAGTTTTGATGAAGAGCCTTATGAAGAATGGAACATTTTCATTAATTATTTTTCTTCTGGGTTTCTGTACTCGCTTCATTCCTATAATATGTGTTCTTTATACATGTCATGAAATGTATTTTACTATATTTAGAACTAATTTTGTAATTTTGAATAATTCTGCAATTCTAATTCTGATATATTGTATCAATTTCAAATTTTGGCTGGAGCTAGTTCTCTGTACTTTGAATTTTCCTTTCAACAAAAATTAGGTAAAATAATATCAATTTTTTTTATTTTTTAAAACATAAAAATTAATAAATTGAAAAAGAACGTGTATATATATATATAAGGTAATCTTTTCTCATCTAAAATTTATTTCATGTTCCGCCATTGCAGGTGAGGAACTTCCTTCCATTTCTTAATCCAGCTAACAAAAGGATGAAAGAAATGGAAGCAGAGTTAGAGAAGATTTTTGAGAGGCTTAAACGTTTAGTTAAACACAAGGGTGATCTGCGCCACATCGAAGGTACTGTTGGAGGGAGACCATTGCCAGAGAAAACATATCCTCTGGTTAATGAATCTCGTGTTTATGGTAGGGAAGCTGATAGGGAAGCTATAATGGAGTTGTTGACACAGAATGAAGAAAATGGCCCAAATGTTGTTGTGATTCCTATCGTCGGAATGGGTGGAATTGGCAAAACCACTCTTGCTCAGCTCGTCTACAAGGACAACAGAGTAGAGGAGTGCTTCAAACTCAAAGCTTGGGTCTGGACTTCTGAACAGTTTGATGTTACTAGAATAATGAATGATATTCTTAAGAAGATCAACGCAAGCACTAGTGGCACCAAAGAACCAAATGAATCTCTGAAGGATGCATTGAACGAGAAAACATTTTTGCTTGTTCTAGATGAAAGACTTCGAGAGTTGACAGATTTCATTTTATTTGATGTGCAGTTTTTACATTCACCAAGACGCAACTCAAAAGACTTCGAGAGTTGACAGATTTCATTTTGGGAAAACAGAGGGAGTCTAGCATCAAAGAGTTGGGAAAGCTCTTACATCTACGAAAAAGCCTTTCTATTCGGAATCTCCAAAATGTTGCAGATGTTCAAGATGTTTTGGATGCCAATTTGAAAGGTAAGAAACAACTTAAGCAGTTGATATTAAAATGGAATGGCGATACGGATGATACACAGTGGGAAAGGGATTTACTTGAGGAATTGGAGCCTTCTGTAAATGTGAAAAGACCTGACATTAGTGGCTATGGGGGTTCAAAGTTTCCAAATTGGATTGGAAACTCTTGTTTGTCAAATATGGTAGAGTTTCATCTTGGTGAATGTAAAAACTGCACATCCTTACCACCACTTGGGCAGCTGCCATCTCTTGAAGAGCTCTATATTGCTGGTTTTGATCAAGTTGTGGCTGTTGGTTTGGAGTTCTATGGAAGTGATCCTTTGATGGAGAGGCCGTTTAAATCCCTCAAAACATTAATGTTTCGTAATAGGCCACAATGGAACGAATGGAATACAGATATAGCTGGTGCTTTCTCTCTTTTTGAAGATCTTTCGATGTTTGCATGTCCAAACCTTGTGGGCTCGTTTCCAGCGGCTCCCAAGCTCACCAAATTTAATTTAAATAACCGTTTACGTACACATCTATCATATTCTTCTGGGAAGTGGTTTCTTGAGGTTCTAGAAGATTCCTTACTGAAGGGCAACAAGCGAGCTAGTGGTGTTTTCTCTTCTATCACTGAAATTGAAATCCATGGATGTAATTCACTCAAGAGCTGTCAGCTAGACATTTTGCCTCACTTTTCTAAATTTACAATTACATACTGTCTAGGTCTTGAATCTCTTTGTATTCTTGAGGGACCTCTCCTGTATCTCCATCAATTGGTAGTCAGAAGGTGTCCTAATCTGAAGTCGCTGCCAGAAAACATGTATTCTCTCCTCCCTTCCCTTGAGGAATTGGAATTGAGCTCACTTCCAAAAGTTTATTCGTTTCCAATAGGGCGCTTGCCCTCCAAGTTAAACTCACTTTGCATCCGAGATTGTATCAAACTCAACGTATTAAGTCCATTGCTACAATCCCTCCTTTCTCTTTCGCACTTCAGTTTTGGTGGGGATGGTGACGTGAAGTCCTTCTCTAATGAGACACTGCTGCTGCCCTCCACTCTTACATCTCTTGAAATTCACAATCTGAGAAATCTGAAATCTCTGGACTACAAGGTGCTTCAGCACCTCACCTCTCTTCAGAATCTAAAGATCTGTCGATGTCCTAAGCTTGAGTTCATCCAAGAAGAGTTGCTGCCATCCTCCATTGAACACCTTGAAATCTTGAATTTGAAAGATCCGGACTACAAAGGGCTACAGCACCTAACCTCTCTTCGCGAATTGAAAATCTGGAGTTCTTCTAAGCTTGAGCCCATCCCGGAAGGTCGCTACCCTCTTCCCTGAAACACCTTGAAATCTGGAATATGAAAGACGTGGACTACAAGGGGCTTCAACACCTCGGCTCTCTTCGCCAATTGAAGATTTGCGGATGTCCAAAGCTTGAGTCAGTGCCAGAAGAAGGGCTGCCTCCCTCCCTTGAATACCTTGAAATCGGGAATCTGGAAAATCTGAAATCTCTGAATTACAAGGGGCTTCAGCACCTCAACTCTATTCACCATTTGAAGATCTGGAGGTGTCACAAGCTTAAGTCCATGCCAGAGCAGGGGCTGCCTTCCTCCCTTAAATTTCTTCAAATACTTGATTGTCCTTCGCTTCCAAAAAGGTGTAAAAGGGAGACGGGGGAAGATTGGCCCATGATTTCTCACATCCCCCGTATAACCATATAACACAATCTTATGTCAATTTCCCAACATGCTTAGGTATTTACCATTTTCTCAGCCTTGTATCTGTGGTTTTATAGATTTTTTCATGAGATTCCTTGTATTATTTCTAATGGCTAGTTGTAGAGCATTGTATTTCAACATAAACAAGTTCAATATTTCATATAATTTTGTTGTTAATGTTTTTTTTATAAACAAGGTCTGCTTTTTTATGGTGAAACTGACACCAGGTGGTTGATGCGATTCTTGTTCATGCACAGCAGAATCTGTCATTTTTTGTTTTATGTTAGTCATCATTTATCAAAAGAAGTTCCTTGAATTGAAAAGGTGTCTATTTTGCATTTCTTACCATTACTGGATTTCTTTAAGGACATAAAATCTGCTGAATATTTATCTCAGGGTTTAATTTCATATACCTCTGCAAGGCAGCCGAAGATGTTCAACCTTTAACAAAACATTAAAATATGATAGAGCGGATTACATTAATCAACCCATCTTTACAGTATAATAATGTCTTTTTTTTGCCTGATTTCTCCAAGAATTTACAAAGATCTTATACAAGAGATTTCTGTTCTTTCCACCCTTCTGCAGAATAACCTGGTCTTTTCTTGCCTGATTGCTCTAATTTGGCAATGGCAGCTGACTTATTGATGGGGTCCTCATTAACACGAGGCTTGTCCTGCTGAGAACCAGGGTCGAAAAGCTGCCAAGGAAAATGTTGATGCAGTTCTTCGGGATCACTCGCACTGAATAGTGAGCCTCTACCTTCGATGTGTTCTAAAATACAACCTTTATCGGGTCAAGCATCAAAAGAGCAATGAAAATGGACATTCTACAAGACAGAATTTCTGCAGTTATACTGTCCATGCTTTCCATCGCGACTTGCCTAAGCCCCATTGTACTTGTTTTGAAGCCATTTCCATCTGCAATAGAAGTGCATTACAGCGAGATCGTAATAGCATACCCAATAGAGAAAAAGAATTGGTTAAATGGCATGGCATAGCATATATATCAGAACTAAGAAGATAATAACATCACCAAAAAATTATAGAGATAGTTACCTTCAACCAGCAAGAAATGCTTGCTGCTATCAACACATATACGTGAAGATAACTGGCTCTATGACCAATCTTATAACCAAAATCACTACAAGAGGACATGTTTGGTAGATTTTTAATCCAGGTCCATTCAGAAAAGAAGGTGCATCTTCCCTTCATTTCTTGGATCACCAGAACCTGAAGACAAAAAATAAAAGAAAAAGATCAATACCAACGAAACTGATCAAAAACCAATGAAACTTAAAAACTGATACCGAAACACACATAGAGTAAGTTTAACAAAGAGAAATTAGAGTCGAAACCCTAACCCGGGTTTTTCTTTGTGATATATCAAAGATCTGATATATGCAACTTGACGTGAGCTTTTTCATGTCACCATCTTCATCTTCCTCCTTGGCTTTCTCCTCTTCAAGTAGTTGTGCCCCACTACAGGCGGCGACTATTGTTTCTACCATTTTGATGATTCTGAAGGTTTGGCGAATAAGATGTTTATATAGAGAAACCTCTAGGGTTTCGAACACCACGTGTTTCTCTCTCTGGGATTTGGTTTCTTGATACCACCTCCTGGGTTTGTCTCCACATAGAATCGCATACCATATAAGGTGTATCTGTAATTAGGACAACATTAATGATGCCAATTCAAAAAATTTGCTGTCATTGCAAAACTATGGAAAGCAGAGGGATTTGGTTCAAATCAGGGTCTAGAATTATTGGAAGTTATTTCTGCACCTGTGAAGCAACAAACCATGCACGCCAAAAAGGCTTCTCTCTTCATTCACAACTGCACCTGCAAATCCGTTAAGCCCGCACTCGCATACTTGTTGCTGCACTCGTGAAGCATGGCATCTTCTCTTTTTTTTGTTGCTTGATCTGTTTTGCACAGCTGTAACTAATCATCAATTAGCTTTCTTAATTATAGATTAGTTATAGTTAGCTAGAATTAGTTATTGGTAATTCTTCTCTGCCAGCTTGTATATATATGCACTAAGCTCACGTTAATAAAGTGTGGGAAAGTTTTCCTTCCAATTGCTTCTATTTCTTTCTTTCAACATGGTATCGAGCCTCTGTCAATTTCATTTTCATTCTTGGTTTGTTAAGATTTGACATTGTTCATCACTTTTCATAAAAATTTGTTATCATCATGATAACTTTGCCTACAAATCCTTCACGACCAGCGAGAGGAACTTCCCTCAAGCCCATATTTTCTTCATCCTAATGAAAATCCAGCTTCTACTCTCGTTTCAATCCCTCTCACTCGGATCCAATTATCACAGCTTGGTCTAGATCAATTCGTATGGCACTTTTATCTAAGAATAAGATCAAATTCATTGATGGATCTATTCCAATACCGACTTCTAATCATAATTCTTACCCTTATCGGGAGAGATGCAACACAATGGTTCTGTCATGGTTGTTGCATTACGTGTCCGAATCAATTAGAAATAGTGTCTTATGGTTGGATACTGCTAAAGATGTTTGGGATGATCTCCATGAACAATTTTCTCGGGGAGATGCATTTCGCATATCCGATCTTCAAGAGGAATTATATTCTCTTCATCAAGGTTCATTGTCGGTTTCGAGTATTACACTCATTTGAAGATTTTGTGGGATGAGTCGACAAATCTCGGGCCTATTCCTCTTTGTGTTTGTGATCCCAAGTGCAAATGTACTCGCACTCAATGTCATTCGTAATTATAGGTCAAATGACTATGTCATTAGATTTTTGAAGGGATTAAATGACGGTTTCTCTACTCGTCAAGTCTCGGATCATGTTGTTAGATCCCCTGCCTTCAATCGGCAAAGTGTTTGCTCTAGCTTCTCAACATGAAAGGCAATTCATGCCCGCTCCCGGCTCCTCCTCATCTAGTGACACTACTGCCGGTGCCTTTTATGGAAAAACTATCTCTGGATTCCAAGGAAAATTTCAGAATAATTTTCAGAATCCAAAGAAGTTCTATCCACCAAAGAATTATTCGCAGGAGCACCTATTTGTTCCTTCGTAACGAGAGAAGGACATACCGTTGACGAATGCTATAAGAAACATGTTTTTCCTCCCGGTATGAGGAACAAATTCGGATCAACGAGAAGCTCCGTTAATCAAGTTGATATTCCTCTAGCCGGTGAAGATTCTCCGGAATCGAATCAAGACATTTACTCGCAGGGCAACTGCTGAGTCTTTATTCTGCTAGCATGCGGAACACTCAACTCGCAAGCATCACCTTCACTCGGGATCAATATTCCAAATTAATGGCTCTTATCCAACCTAAAACCACTCCCACAGTAATTCCTCACGTCAATACTATATCATCTAACTTTGCTCCTATAGATGAAATGTCGGGTAAATATGTTTCCATATGTTCTTTTTTAAACAATGCAAAAACATTTCAAAATCACACTTGGATTCTTGATTCGGGAGCAACGAATCACATTGTTTGTTCTCTTGATTATTTTACCTCCTATAAATCTGTCATTAACACTTTTGTAAAACTCCCAAATGGTCATCTTACACATGTTTCTCACATTGGTCAAGTTCAATTCTCTCCCGATTTTATACTGCATTCAGCTTTTTTTGTCCCTACTTTTTCATTTAATCTCATCTCTACCAGCAAACTTTGTCAAAATTCTAACTACCGTGTTATTTTTAAATCGATTCTTGCATTATTCGGGACCTTGCATGTTGGAGGACGATTGGATCTGGGTAAACAATTGCACGGTTTGTATCACCTTGTTCATCCTCAACTTCGACTCTGCGAAACACAACTTCTTCGATGTACCCCTTGGTTCTATAAATAGCATTACATAAAATGATTCAATTCATTCTCAAATTTGGCACAATAGATTAGGCCATGCCTCTATCCCTAGGGTCAAACTTTTACAAGATATAGATCCTTCTATTTCGAGTTCATCTCGATGTAATCTGTGACATTTGTCACTTTGCTAAACAAAAGAAATTACCATTTCCTGTCGGTACTTCGTTACAAATGCTTGCTTTGATCTAGTTCACACCGATATTTGGGGTCCCATGTCCGTTTGTACCACTCGAGGACACAAGTACTTTCGACCATTGTAGATGATTTCGGTAGAGCTACTTGGGTTTTTCTCATGAAAACTAAATGCGAGGCTAGATCATTACTTCAACATTTTTGTACTTTTATTAAAACCCAATTCTCCCTTTCTCTTAAATGCATTCGCACCGATCGGGGACGAGGAATTTGCCATGTCGATTTCTATGCCGATCAAGGCATTATACATCAAACATCATGTGCTCACACTCCTCAATAGAATAGTGTTGTGGAGAGAAAGCATCAACACATTCTAAATGTTGCTAGAGCTCTACGTTTTCAAGCACACATTCCTCTTTCTTTTGGGGTGATTGTGTCCTTCATGCTTGTTTATTTGATAAACAGAATACCCTCACTCGTCATTCATAATCACACACCTTTTGACCTGCTATACCACAAACCACCCTCATACCAGTTATCTCAAGGTTTTTGGTTGTTTATGTTTTGCTTCCACAACTGATCAAGGTCGATCCAAGTTTGATACTAGGGCTACCAAATGCATATTTTTGGGTTTTCCTTATAGCATTAAAGGATATAGGTCTGTATAATCTTCACACCGAGAAAATTCTTTGTCTCCGAAATGTTATTTTCCATGAAACCATTTTTCCCTTTCATTCTCCTTCCTTTTGCTACCGGGATACATTCCCCACCAATACCGATACTTGATACACCTTGTTCTTCCATAAAACCTACCACCACTTTACATCTTGACCCTCTATGTGATCCATTTGCTATTACCGATACATCCCTCTCCGCCCCTAACTCTTCCGTTCCTCGCTCAATCATCTTCCTCTCCATCTGCTCCTCTACGTAAATCCACCGGAATTCACACGGCCCCTTCCTATCTTCAAGATTATCATTGCAACCTTGCATCATTATTGCCTCA